GTTTTTTTTTAGCAAAGTTAGCTGTTTGCTTAATGCCAGCTATCTCATTCCCTATCTTAGCCACTTCTTCTCGTATCATCTTAATTTCTTTGCTAATTTTGTCCTGAGATGCTAGGAATTTTTTTTTAGCAAAGTTAGCTGTTTGCTTAATGCCAGCTATCTCATTCCCTATCTTAGCCACTTCTTCTCGTATCATCTTAATTTCTTTGCTAATTTTGTCCTGAGATGCTAGGACTGTATTTTGAAGAGCAGCTATCTGTTCTGACAGTTCCTTAATGTTTTTCGCCATCTCTGGTGATTTATTAGGGTTTAGTGAGCTAGCCTTTTGCCACGTTGAGCGTTGCCTTTCAAAACAGTGATAAATAAAAGTCTTACCACTCAGCATCTAAGCTTCCCTGCTGCTCCTGGCTTCCTTCCCTTCTTTTCTGATAATTGTATGCCAAAGTTTGGCTGTTTACATTCCTTTGAGCTGTACATTCCTTAGGTTAAGGGGGAGCTCGGAGTACAGCGTCTGACTTATTTAGCGCATGCATGCCTCTCCACCCACCTTCTTTCACCATAGACATTTGACTGTGACCTGGGCTTGTTTCAGTGGGAGAGTGCTGGTTCAGAACTGGCACGAGGCCCTGGGGAGATGGTCGGTGGTGGTGGATTTAGGAGGACTACTAGAGGTCGACATCAGGCCTAGGATTTTATTAACTTCTACTGCATATTTAAAAAGAATACCTCTGCTCATGGACTACTGAAACACCCCTTGCCAGCTCCCAGTACTTTAATCTCTTCCAGTTTTGACTTCTTAGGCATGATTCATAAGGGTGGCTTTTAAAAATTTTCTGCTGCTCTCTCACCAGGTGAATTAAGTTTAGCAAACTTTTTAATAAGCGGATCTTAAGGAACTTCTGTGCTGAATATTATTGTTGGTGGGATAGTTAGCCATTATTTGTCATGTTTAACCTCAATTAAAACAACTTGGATGGTGTGCCAACTACAGTCTTTGGGCAGACATTTGTTGGCTATCCTACCACTTAGGATGGTCCATCTGGCATCGACCAGAGCCTGGGCCTTTTCCATCATGGCTCCAGCTCTGTGGAACGGGCTCCCTAAAAAGATGAGAAGGGGCCCCTCCTTGGAGATCTTTGGGAGGCACTGCAAGACTTGCCTGTTTGCCAGGGTTTTTGAGGGGATTTGAACGGTAGGCATCTCTTAAAGGGGGGGGGGAGAGGGAGAGATTTGGGGTTTGTTATTGTGTTTGTAACTGTAGATGTTTTTAACTATTACTGTAAGCTGCCTTGTGCCCCAAGGAAAAGCAGAGTATAAATGTTTTAATACAAATAAATACCTTTACATTTTTAAATAAAAATAAATGTTCTACCTGCTACTGCATTTCAGATCTAGTTTAACTACACTGATCTATCTTCTATTGCAGGACACATAGATTCATATCAGAAAGCTAGACCAATCAATATGTAGAGGGAGCTCAGAGGTTTGATAATCTATTGATTATTTATTCCATGGATCTTAATATTTTTGAGAAAAGCATTTGAGGCTTCCTGAAATAAAGTTAGCAAAAAAGCAAGAAGGTATAACAGCCCTGGTTTCCATCATTTAATGAGCTGGCAAGAAGCGGAGTAAAGAAATTTGATAATTGGCTGATGCTTTATTTTTAATGAGATGTCAAGATCAGGCTGGTAAGATTTATTGAGCAAAAATACAGCTGAAATCTCTGTTACAGAGATTAGACTCTAGCAAACTGCTTTGCTATTTGTTGATTGTTTCCAAAAGTTAAAAACAACCTTTAATATTTTGTTTATAGCTGAGAATAACTGTTGTTTAAAGTTGGTATGGAGCTTTATATTTCCAAATGTTTGTGGAGAAAAAAGTTAAATTTTTTATTAAGCAAAACTATCTCTTATTCTTTAATAAGAAGCCTTGCTTATTAGCCAAAAGAAGATGACAGATTTATTGATACACAGCTGGGAAACAAGGATTTAAAATTAAACTACTAAGCATTATTTTAACAAGCAGAGGTAATCTTTATCTTTAGCCAATTATAAGCAAGATGTTTCCAACAGAAATTAATGAGCAGATGTTCATTATTAGAGATACTTGTACAAAGCGAAAATATTTTAACGAAGAATAAATAATGAGACATTTGACAATTTAATTTGAATTATAGCAGCAGAATTTCTATTTTCTATACAGAAAGAGCTCTCTAGTGGCCATTAGGAATTTGATTTTGCTAAAATGGAATTATCTTTAAACTTTCATATACAGACAGACAGATATAGATATAGATATATTAGGAATACTTTAAACAAGTATAAACAAGTATTTGTATATCTTGTATATGCATGTGTTAATTAAAAAATCCACTATATTAATAACAGAGAAACTTAATTTTGCTTATAACATGAATTTAAGCCAGTAAGTTCTAGAGATGGGAAAAACTAGGAACATAGCTAAGCAGAAGGTTCTTTGTCCAGAAGTGTACCATATTTTACTTTTCATAAGGAGGTTTTGACAAGACACCTGTGGATGAAAGGACAGTAAAAACTGAAAGAAGGCCAGAAACATCTTGTTTGTCAAAAGTAAGAAAATAGAAATATAAATGATGTCACAGATTATGTAAAACTTAGAGGATAACCAAGAGTATAAAAGTTGGAACACAACTGATGCTCAGTGGACATCTGAGCTAAACTTTTGGCTGCATGTTGTCCCTTATTCAAATAAAACTTTTTTTACCCTTTTGCTGCCTGGATATTGTCTCACTATGTGACTTCAATTGGCTAGCCACACAAGTCAAAGAACCTTAGTGCCTTGAGGACATTGCCTTCAAATAGAAAACACAGAACTCCCAATTCACAGACAAAAACGTACAAAGATGTTGTACTTGATTTATTTTCATAATAAACCAATTAAAATACAAAAAGACAAACAAAGTTCAGAAGAGTTTCACAATTTAAAAATTTGTCTTTAAATACAAATTCACTCTGTAATATACGAATACATATAACATTAGAGCTCTAAACATAATGATCTTAATTGCATCTATAAAATATTGCTCTATGGAAACTTTTTTTTATGAAAACCATCTTTGAGAAATTAAATTACATATTTACAATAGAAAAAGTACTCTTATAGAAATATTTAATTCTCAAAATACTTGCACAAGTTGCATATACTTTTCCCCACTCCCTTACAAAATAATGGGAAAGAAAAAGCAAAATGTTTTAAACTTCAGTGTTAAAATGGTCTGAACAAAATTTCCACCCGTAGTAATAACTCTGATTTTGTTGATCGGGTGTGTCTAATGGAGCCACATTAGGAAAACAGATAAATACACAGTTGATAACAGGTACAAATGTCGAATATCTTCTTGATAAGAGGAAGTTATTTTTTGCACTATAATTAATCTTTGGTGCAAAACGCAATAGGAACAGGTACGACTGACCCTGCCCTGTTTACCATGCATGTAAAAGGAAAACCTTTTAACTGAATGGCATGAGACAGTTCTTTGGGATTTGCTAGAAGAATCGCATATATGGAATGAAAGAAACACTTTTGTGAAAATCAACTGTTGCTTGAAAGCACTGATTATAATAATAACATTATTATGCAAGATAGACAAATAATGCATAAAGTGCAAGAAATTTAGAATTTCTGGACAGTGATCAAAAAAGAAACTGCATGTTCCTTCATGCCTGCATTTTAGAAAAAAAAATATATTATTTAGCAAACAGAAAACTGAAATAAATTGTATAGTATTATTTCTAAAATTAACTTCAGAAATCAAAGAAGCTTTGTAATGCCTACTTCGGAATCAAGTGATAATACAAAACTGAAGAAGTCCCATCACATTAAGGAAACCACCTTCCACACAGTTCACTGACTTCCAATTTACTCACAGGGACTTGCCTCCAACTGTTCACTCTCCTGCTTAATGTGCATTGTGGAGGGAAATCCATTTGAACTGGATACCATCACCACAAAAGGCTGCTGCTGGAAACCCTGCTCTGAGTGTTTGGCTTCGTCCACTGTACCATCATGTTCCTCTGATTTTACCACCTCTTGAATAACCGTCGGTTGACTTTCTGGGGCCTTAATGACGGAAGTGACCATTGTGCTGGATGGCGGAGGGATCATTTGTGAGCTGCTTGGTGTAAACGTTACTACAGGGGCAGCAGTGCTGAAGGGTGGAGAAGAAGCCATGTTGACTGTTCCATTGCAAATTGTCTGCACGTTGCTGCTGAGCACCTGGTGGACCTGTGCGGCGCTCAAGACAATGGAGGAAGGAGGTGAGACTGACTTGGAAGAGTGCAGCATGACGTTCTCCTTAAGCACCGTCATGGGTTGTGAAGTTGGGATGGCCTGAAGGATAAACTTCTGGGATGTTGTGGCAGATGTTGGGTCTGCGCTGGCTATTACTGTTGTCAGAGGCACTGTCTGGAGTGTTACAGTATGCAACTGTTGGTTCCCAGGTGAAACGACGACTGGCACTTGTCCTGGCGCTTGGATGGTCCTGTTGAAATAAACACAGAGAATGGGAAGTTTCTTTCTTTTTTTTTTTTAAAATGCAGTATTACTAGTGTAGTTTTAACAATTCAACTGAAGGTCAACGGACAGCAGCTTTCAGTATGAAAGGCCAGTGCTAAATACTGTCATCATATATTCTAATAGCCAAGTTGGCCAAACCTGAGGATATTTAAATCCTGTGACTGGAGCTGTGCATGGCCAAGGCAGATCTCTCTACAAACCTGAAAAATGCCCCAGGTTTGCAAACCTGAAATCTTTTTTTAAAAAAATACCAGGGGTGGTGGTGGTGAAAAAAATCAAAACGATAAGAAGATGCACCTGTAGTGTTAAGCAACAGAAGCCCTCAGTGGGTATTGCTAGGCAACCACAGCATTTTAGGCGTGGAGGAGGGCCCTTTTCAGGACAGTTTTGGACTGAGGGAGGACTCACTGGGGCTCAGCCTGGCAACAACTACTGGGTGACTTGATACCACCCTACCTGCATGACTCACTTAGGCCTAGCTGCTTGCTACTGTTCAACAGTGTGAAGGCCAGAGTGATGAAGAAGAGTTTCAGAGCAGGGTCTGAGAGCCCCAGATTCAAATCACCAGTCTGCCATGGAAGCCCACTAAATGATATTGGGCCAGTCACATACTTTCAGCCTAACCTACCTCACAGGGTTATGAGGATAAAAAGGAAGAGTGGAGAATGATGTAAGCTGCTTTGGTCCCCAATGTGGAGAAAGGTGGGATATAAATACAGTAAATAAATAATAAATATAAGATAAATAAATAAAGTAAAATAATAAATATAGCTGAAGATGAGAGGGCAGATAAAAGGTAGGTTGGTGAATGGCTGAGGAGAGAACGGGGGCAGGAAAAGGGAAAATAATGTGGGGACAGGTATACAGGGGATAGTGATGTGGCCCCCAACAAGTCCTTGAGGGTTCTCTACCATGCAAGTGGGGCTGGCGCAGCAATCAGCACCACACAACTGGGCCATAGTTTTCCTACCTAGAGGCTGCCTGGGTGGGGGACTGAAGACAGGGAGTTGTTAGGTGGGCTGTTAGGTGGGAAAGAGAGATGGAAGCAGGAAAACGGGAGAGGCTAGGGGGTCTTTCAGGGAAAGAAAAGAGGAAATAGTGGAAAAGAGGAAAATGAGATCTCCTTCTACAAGTCCTTGTGGGTTCCCACTTCTAATAGTCCATTGTGGGCCCACCTGGGGATACTTAAATCTGTGGACCAAGCCCACAGTGACATAAAACTTGGGAGACTCCCAGGCCCTGTGGCACCAACAGGGAGGGCAGAAAGCCAGGAGAGGGAAGAGACCCTCCAGGACAGATCTCAGGTCCCCACTTGTATAATATATATGTCATCTGATATATGGATAATAGGAATACATGTTGAAAGGTGACTGTCAACAAAATATTTGACTTGAAGTGTTTTGCTGCTCGGACGTGTCTCGTCTCGCTTAGATGGAGACGTGCCGAGACCAGGCTGACGGGAGGGGTTCGAGTTTGTCCTGGATCTCCCCGGGGTCTCTGTAGGAGACCCCCAGCCTGGGGAGCTGAGGAGAGCCTCTTCCAAGGGGACGCCCAAGGAATTGAGGCTCACCTTCTTCCCCGATAGGAACCGTTACCATGGAGCCAGCATGGCGCCCAGAGATGACTGCCGGAGCAAGCGAGCATGATCAAACTTCTAAAAAGACTTCCAAAAGACCTCCAAAGCTACAAACTGTGAGTTAAGCAAAGCTCAGGTGAAAAATAAGCGAATGGAGCCTTGGTAGTAATTGGAAGCACCTAAGTTTGAAGCACGGGGGGAGGAGATTTTTAAAAAACAAACCCATATGAGTAAACTGTAAAAACGGTTTTAAAATGAAAATAAAAAGACTTTGAGCCAAACCAAGCGTATAAGAAGTTAAGCGAATGCAAAAGCTGCTAAAATATACGAAGCAGAATTAAAACGCATAACTTTTACTTTGTTTTGGAAAACTTACTTCTTGTTGATATTATGGCTGGGAGAGGATGGAGAGCACTGGAGAAAAAACTGGTGACCGGAAATAACATACCAACGACTCCCTCCCAGAACCAGGAAGCATCTACAGACTTCTCTTCGTTTTTAGCAAATGCACTGAGCCCTCTAATGGATCAGATGACTACTCTCAACACCAAGCTAGATAATGTGCAAAAACAACTAAAGCAGATGGATAAGAGAACCTCAGCAATCGAGAAAACGTTGAAAAAGATGTAAAAACAGACTGAGAGTATTAATATAAGAGTGGATGAAGCAGAGAAGGAGAGATCCTCGGATAAAACACAACTAATACAGCTCCAGCTGGAAAGATCCATGTATGTTCTACGTTTCCATGGGATACCTGAAGATAAGAATGAGGACTTAAAGGAACTCTTGGCGGTTGCCTTGGCCACACTAATGGATTATAAACAAGAAGACTTAATTAAGGAAATGGCAACCGCCATTTTTAAGGCAATTCCTTCCAGGACTTATCCGGATTTTATAAATAAAACAGGGGAAACTTACTTAAAATTCACAAAACGATCAACGAGAGAACTGGTGCTAAAGTCAACAGTGGGGAAATCCTTAAAAATCAAGAATGAAGAGATAAAAAAATTGAAAGACATTCCATTTGAAGTAAGAAAACGGAGGAAATTATACAGGATGCTTAGTCTCCCTGCAAAAAAAAACAAACCAGAACACCGTATAGACAGCTATTCCTGGAAGGGCTGAGTTTTAATTACCAGGATAAAAAATATAAAATTGACTCTGTTCCAAAAGTGGAAAGATTTATGGATCAAATGTTTAATGTAAAAAAGAAGCAGAAGGAAAAGAATCTAAGACCGGATGTGGAGGAAGAAGAAGAAGAGGAGTCCTATTCACAGGACTCAACAAGCCAAATTTCCTCGTCATCAGAATCATCTGAATTGGAGAAAGGAGTGGCCGCTCCCAAATTGCAGAAAATGAAGAAATCTAAGAAGAAAAGACTCTAAAACTAAAGCATGAGTGCTAAGGGCAGTAATTGTGCCAAGCTAATAATTTTATATTTGTATAATCGAACTAATCTCTGTGTAACCTGTATTAATAGGTTAAAAAGATCTATTCTTTTAGCTTTTCAGATCGTGATTTGTATTAGTCTTCACCCTATCCCCATATCCAGTAGGAGATTTAGAATAGAGTGGTAGTTTTCCTTCCCCTATCCAGTAGACTTTATGTATCTAGATTTCCCTGACCCATTTCCCATAGTTATAGTAATAGGGTATTAGTATTCCTTACCACATCCCATATTTGTAGTGTGTAGAAAATGCAAAATAAAAAAAATCCCCTTCGGGGGGCCAAAACCCCCCCCAAACACCCCCCCCGAAATATTTGACTTGACCTTGGTTCAAGGGTCATTTTAAAGGCTCAGAATACCCTGGGGTTACCTGGAGGATGCAAATTCACGTTCCATAGCTAGTCTTTCAGCTATCTTTGTGGGTGATCCAGCTGGCTAGATTTTCCCCAGCTGACCTCCTCCCCTGGAGCATTATCCTTGGATGGTCAGCTCCCCACTCCTGGGAATTTTATTCACACAGGCACTAAACCACCTTGCTTTGCTGAATAGCAGGCACAGGAAGACATCTTACAGTTTCATGAACAAGACTGAGAAATCAAGTCTGTTTCCATCATAACTTCCCTCATTTAGTGTGGCCTAACTGGAGACCTTAGGTCAAATGAGTCGGCCGTTAAAGGTTAACTTACCTTAAATTGGTATTCAGCTAGAAATAACAAAAGTATTACTTGCTGATGGCTTTACAAGCAAGCATATATATATATATGGATTGTAATCCTGCTCACTTAAGTTCCTACACACTTAAGTTCCACTGAAGCCAACTGAATCATAACATAAATACATGGATTCATGACAATAGAGTCAGGCGGGTAGCGGTGTTGGTCTGAAGCAGCCGAACAATGTCTGGGTCCAGTGGCACCTTTAAGACCAACAGACTTTAATTCTGGGTACAAGCTTTCGTGTGCATGCACAATTCATCAGATTCATCACGGCTACCCAAGTGCCTTCTAATATACATTTTCAAGTACTAACATAGCATTAACATGGACAAGATCAGTCCTTGTTAACAGTATGTAATCTAAATTCTGATTGCTTATATCAATTCCTCAGAACAACTAATGGAACTTGGATGCTAAGCTCTCTTGACTAGAAATTCATACTAATCACTCAGACAAAAATACAAACCTAAAATGCCCCAAAACACCTGGATTGACTCGCCAGTCAATTTGCCATAGGCAGACATGTGCCTGCCCAGGGAGATACAAATAAGGAGAAATGGTTGCAATACGGTTAGGAAGACTGCATCTGTTTAGCCTGCTGGTATCCTACATTAAACTAGAATGAGAACCTAAAAGCAGCAGGTAGAGCTGCTCTGAAATGTTTACTTTAGACATTGAACATCTATTGGATCACTCATCCTTTGCTTATACCTGTCGACACAGTACGTAAACATTACCTAGAGAAGAGGACTGATTGATCATACTGATGAGACAATATTTCCCACACAGGGATTGTTCCTATGACTGTTGTGAGGTGCGTTGCACTTTGCCATAATCTCTATTGCTATGGACACAAGCCAGTGTTTACGGGGGCCTTTCCAAATGACCACTTTTGGGTATTAATTACTTTTTTTAAAATTACCAAACAGCCAAACTATATATACCTTCTCTGAGCAAAGGCCTATAAATATTCCAAATATTTAATACTTTCATAATAATCCCAATATACACAAAAGGGGAAAGAAGCAACAGAGAAAAAAGAAATCAATAATCATGTTTCTTGACGTTTTAAAATTAAGACAAAATTAGACTTGATTAGATACAATCTAAAACTTCTGGCTTGCTCCAGAATCCCTCTTTGCACAATACCTGTCCTTTGTCCAGCTCTTTTGATTCCACACATACTTATTAGGGGCAAGCTGATCCATCAGCATTGTATGCTGCAG